CACACACACACACACAATTTGCCAGCGAATGAATGAGTGATGATGAGATGGCACACCTGAAGCCAAACAGTGAGATGTTCTGAGAAATGGATGGGATGGAGGGAGTGAAGGACAGGGTGCAAATCTGCAGGTGCGACAGGCAGGCTGACCTCTTCTTGGAGCTGCAGCCAGAGTTTGTGCTGACACCCGGAGGCATGTCACTATAAAATGAATCTGCATCCCCAGGCTTTGTTACATAGTCACCTGGGGGCACTGGTCTGGAAATACAGAAGAATGATTTTAAACAGGAAATAACAGTAATTACAGCAACATTATTATTATTTTCACCCTTGATTTGTTGTTCAGTTGTTGCAGGTGTAAGTTCTCAACATGCAACATATTTTGTGGCTGTATTGCATTTAAATTGCATTTTGTTGAGATATCCCACTACTGTTGAACTGCAGTGCCAACAGCAGAATAACTATGTACCCTAGGTAGGGAGAGGTACTTCATGCAACTTTTCTACTCCACTTTATTTCAGAGAGAAATATAGTTACCGCTTTAGTTACTAGTTACTTTTCTTTTTTTCGTAAGATCAGCCTTTAAAATATGTAAATGTTTTTATAAACTGTCCCACAGTATATACAATGGTTAAAATTAGCTTTACTCTCAATGAATTGCAACAGTAAAATACTGCTTACATGTATATGCATCTTAATTTTATGCAAAAATAAAAGCTGTGGCCAAAAAACAAAATCATTATTGAGTGTTTTTGTTTGTTTATGATATATATATATATATATATATATATATAGCAAGAGAACACTATCACTAACACTAACTATCAAAACATGCCTAAACACACCATAGCTTTCTCACGAAAAAATCAACTTAAATGCAACACATTAAAAAATAAAGTTAAAGTGAGCAAACCGGCAGAATCTTCGATGAACCTCAGACTCAACATAGCGTCTCTGCTTGTAGATCCTGTGAAGAGAAGTATCAGTATCCCCAGCAACAATAATGCCACTTTAGTCAAATGTATTGCATAATATAAAGCAGTGATTCCCAGCCTTGTAGACTCATGATCCCTTAAAACGAAGCAGTAACTTATTGTGACCTCGTTGTTTGTTTTTTTGTTGTTGCATACTGTGACCATTTCAACCAAAGACAGATTTTTTTCTTGCTTTGTTTTAATGATTTTTAGAAGCTCTAAACTGATTGTGTAATAATAAAAAAATAAATGTGTGTAGTAGAAATATGATATTTCTTTCCAGTGCTGTTAATCATCTCACAAACTCCTCTGATTTCTTCCAGTGACCCCTGGTGGGGGGACCCGACCATCAGGTTGGAAACCACTGATATAAAACATCATGTATACAGGCTGCAGGGATACTTACTTGTAACCCCAGGCTGTAACAGCCAGTATGAGAAGGAGGAAGAGGATGGAGCCTACGATGGCCCCGATGATGATGTTGGTGTTGGTGATACCTGAGACAAAATAAGAGAGGAGAGTGGGGAGCCAAATGTGTGTTAATTGGATGTGTGTCTCTTGTTTCCTGAATCATGTGCACACAAGGGGATACACAAACCACAAAACACTGCAGCAGAACACAAAATCACAATACATTCAGCAGGAAAAGTGTAAAAGGAGAACAAGGGGTACGAAACTGAGAGCAACCAAACTGCTGTCACCCCTCAGCACTACTCTGAGGGGAACTTACATGTGCAGTAGGTTTGCAGTCAGGATGACATTAAAAACTGTTTTTGCCTGTTTTTAAACTGAGGAATAGTCAGAATTAACCGACGAGGTGAGCTGAAGTTGGGTTGAGAGAGGAAAAGGATCAGGAAATGACATCAAAGACAGGACAAATACAATGAAAAGGAACTCAAATCTGACCTCAAGTCACTCCGTCAAAGACATCGGCCTGTCGACAAAGAATGAGTGTGAAAATAATGACAAACAAAAAGAATGACATGCATGGTTTAGTGAGTACAAATGCAGCTGGTTTTAATGAGCAGACATGAACTCAACACAAAAAATGATGAGAAATGCAATTGACAAAAAAGCCAAAGAAAAAAAAGGTTGAAATATACAACATAACATTTGTGAATTGGGGGGGGTTAAAAGAAGAACTGAAAGAGATGAAGTGGGGTGGAAAGAGCTGAGAGGTACGGGGTTATGTAAAGCAGAGAAGGATGAGAAAAGGTGCAGAAAGTGTGAGATGAAGAGAGGTGTGTATAAAAGGAAACAAACAGTAAGAGCATTAACATCTCTACCTGTAACTGAGACAGTGTGTCCCACCACAAGATAACTGAGAGGAGAAGTGGAGTTACAGTTATCTCCTGCCCATCCCAGGTAACACACACACTTCAGCTCACTACTGCACACCTACAGCATAGGAAAGAAAAATGCATCATTTAGGCACTGTCCTGTAACGGTAAGGTCTCAGTTTGTGGATAATTTTGCAAATGTAAAATAAAAAGTCCCACAATTTGTGTTGACAAATAACATGCTACTACTCAATATATTATTCAAGAGACCTAGTTTGAGGTTTTAGGGAGTATAGTTTTAAAGTGTGCAACATATATATCAGTTCGTTAGTAACATTATAAGTAACAAGCGCTGTCAAGTGAATTAGACGTTAAATTGTGTCCTTTATTGAACACATTATGGTTTCTCAAGCTTATGGTCAGGACCTCTTGTTGGAATGTTTGATATGCTGCTGCTGAAACCCTCATCCACGCCTTCATCACCTCCAGAATCGACTACTGCAACAGCATCCTCTATGGCACACCATCCAAAACTCTAAATAAGCTACAGT